GCAGGGACTTCTCGAGGAGGTCGACAGTGAGGGTGGTGGGACAGACAGAGAGAAACTGGTCCCTAACAGCACGAAGGGACTCAGGGAGACGGGTGACTAGAAAGTAGAGGGTGATGTACATGGGAGGGGGATTTTCGGCGCAGAAGGCAGCATGAAGCGCAGCTCGGTAGCGAGTGTCACTAGCGCGAAGGTGGGTAAAGAGGTCAGCGACTGTAGGAAAGGCAGCAAGGTCAGGGAAGAAGTAAGATAGCATGAGGCGGCTCAGTGTAGCAGTGGAAGGGGAGGAGTAGCGCGCAACTACAGCGTTGTACAAGGCCTGAGCGGTCTTGCACTGACTAAAGTGTGCACGCTCAGAGGAAGGGAGGTGGCGACGCACAGCAAGACGTGCAGCAGCATCGCGTGTGGCCCACTTGGAGCGAACAGTGGGGTCAGCATCAGCAGAAGGGGCAGGGACAGTGCCTGAGGCAAAGTCAAAGAGAGAGATGTCATCTACTGAATCGCACTGCAAGTACAGCTGCAGGTCCTCGACCTAGACCGCAAAGTCAATGGCGCGACCCTCAGCGTCAAAGGCCAGGACACTAGGGGTGGCCATGATAGCAGCTGACAGTCTCACCAGAGAGGAAGGGTCGAGTAGCTCAGTAGGACAGCAACACGGCAGCTTAGCAACTCCGCCGGCCTAGGAGTAGCAGCAGCCCCACAGGATCCGGCGCTCGGCACCGTAGGCGGCTCGGGCGGCTCGGGCGTTCAGCGGCACGGGCGACTCGGGCGGCTCTCTGCTCGGGCGGCGCTCGCGGCTCGGGTGACACGGGCGGTGCGGGCGTCGTGACGGGCTGCCCACGGGCGGCTCACGGGCGGCTTCACGGGCGGCTGCACGGGTGGCACTGGCGGCTGCACGGGCGGTTGAACGGGTGGCTGCACGGGCGGCTGAGCGGGCGGCTGAGGGCGGCTGCACGGGCGGCTGAATGGGCGGCTGAGGGCGGCTGCACACTGGGCGGCTGCACGGGCGGCTGCACAGGCAGCTGCACGGGCGGGTGCGCGGGCGGCTGCACGGGCGGGTGCGCGGGCGGCTGTATGGGTGGATGCGCGGGCGGCTGCACGGGCGGCAGCACGGGCAGTTGCCCGGGCGGGTCGTCGGGCGGCGCACAGGCAGCTCACGGGCGGCTGCACGGGCGGCGCGTCGAGCTGCTGAGGGCGACGCACGGGCGGCGCACGGGCTGCGCACGGGCGGCGCGTCGGGCGGCTAGCGGGCGCGCGGGCGCTAGGGCGGCGACGGGCGGCGCGTCGGGCGTCGGGCGCGCGGGCGCTAGGGCGGCGACGGGCGGCGCTCAGGCTCTAGGGCGGGCGGCCGTCAGGCTCTAAGGCGGGCCGCGCGCGGGCGCTAGGGTGGGCGGCGCTATGGCGCTAGGGCGGGCGGCGCTCAGGCTCGAGGGGCCGTTAGGGCAGATCGAAAAAAAAGAAGAGAAAGGGCCCGGAGGACGCTCCGGGCAGAAAAAAAAAAAAGGTTACGAGGTAGTGGTGGTGGGCCCTAAGCACAGTTCCCACAGGGGAACCTGCTCGATACCATGAGAAGAAGTGAACGAGAATGAAATGACTATGAACGAAGTGAGTACAAAAGGAAACCCTAATTGGGTTGTACCCCCTATGGGATACCCCACTATAGCCTACACAAATATATAAGATATAATGTTCTGATAGATTCAACACCAACGAAGCAGAACGAGTAGGACCAAATTTCATACCTTATCCAGAAACGGGAGACGAAGCAGCTTATCCCGAGGATGTAAATCTTCCCCGCTACTCACAGAGTGGATTGCAGATCCTCGGGCTCGTTAGCGCAGTCCACGGCTCCGTCGTTCCTAAAGAGCTTGCGACGGTTCAGCAGGCTCTTGGGGGCGAACATAAAGAAAAATGGCGCGAAGCCATGGACAAGGATCTGAAAGCATTGGAGGAACGCAACACGTGGAAGGTGGTTCCTATCGGTGTGGCACGGAACAAGACAGTACTCACCGGAAAATGGGTCTTCCGTGTGAAGACAAAGGCCGATGGCACCATCGACAAATTCAAAGCACGCTGGGTCGTTCGTGGCTTCGACCAAGAGCACGGCCGCGACTTCACCGAAACATTCACTCCAGTCAGCCGACAGACCTCGCTACGCATCCTTCTCGCGATCGCCGCCATGAAGAAGAAGAAGCTAAGGCAAATCGACGTCGCTAATGCATTCCTCTACGCACTCGTCGACGCCGAGATCTTCGTCGAGTTACCACACGGCTCCAGCACGGACTCGAAACACGTCTGTCAACTACTCAAGTCACTCTACGGCATCAAGCAAGCCCCGCGACTATGGCAACAATACCTACACGCTCGCCTCATTCGCATCGGCTTCAAGCAACTACCGCACGACCAGGGCATGTACCGGCTCTCGAAGGGTACCGACTACGTCCTGCTAATCGTCTACGTAGACGACCTACTCTACATAGGCTCAACCGAAGGTATTACAACCTGGTTCGAAGGGGAGTTACAACAAGACCTCACACTCACAGTCTCACCTACTGTCACACAGTACCTCGGCCTCAACATCTGAGAAGAAGAAGACGCTATCTACCTCAGCGCCGCGAAATACACCGACACCATCGCCAAGCGTTTCGCACTCACACCAACAGCTATCTCCACACCGTACCGCTACACGACAGTAAACAACAAGGAAGGCTCCGCTCTACTCAAGCCCACCGGCATCTGCGACTACCAGAGAAAGCTGGGCTGCCTTCTCTTCGCAGCTGTCACCTGCCGCCCAGATCTATCCTACTCTGCAAGCCAGCTCGCCACCTACCTCAAGAGGCCTGAAGCGGAACATCTGGCGGAGCTCGACCGCGCTCTTCACTACCTTGTCAGTACCCCGACGGTCGGAGTGACTTATCATAAGAACGCAACTACAACGCCTAAGCTAATCGGCTACGTCGACGCAGACCACGCAGGCGACTCCGACAACAGGCGATCACGCACCGGCTACATCTACCGTCTCGAGCCTATCGGGCCTATCTCCTGGCAATCGAGCAAGCAAGAACTAATTGCTCTCTCATCAGCTGAAGCAGAATATATTGCACTCTGCTCAGCCACCAAGGAAGGACTCTATCTTCGCGAGCTACTGGAAGAAGCGAAGTTAGCCGAGTTACACAACTTCACCCTGTTCTGCGACAACCAGTCGGCAATTCGCATCGCCAACAAGAACGGCTTCGCGAACAGGACGAAACACATCGCCCTACGATACTTCTTCGTGAAGGACGAGATCGAGAAAGGAAGGCTTGAGCTGTCATACTGCCCCACGTCCGAGATGGCAGCTGATTACCTGACCAAGAAGCTCGGAAAACAAAAGTTCGAATATTGCATGCTGCTGACTGGACAGAGCCACGTCAGCGACACTCCAGAAGCGAAGGGGAGTGTTGGAAACAATAGTTCCTAAGCTCCTCTGTGGTGTCGAAACACTAAGGCACAAGCGAAGTAGAGCATATCGAGGCACCAACAAGTCAACCCTCGGAGGTTGAAGTAACCGCTGGAGGTTACGCGAAAGTCAAAGGTCAACGATCTTTGACCTGACAAATGCAGCGCGACAGCAAGGACACACAACTGACTCTTTACAGAGCAGTTGCCCGAGTCGTCACTGTATCGAACCGCAACAGCAACAGTTAAGTAGTTATAATGTGTCTCTTCATATTCTTTGTATTCCTATATAATCTTGTATCTCTTTGCTTTAATCAATTCACTTTGCCCTCACATACTAGCGCAAGGTGGTTCACAAACTCTTCATTAAGACGCTTCCGCTACTACATCAACTCTACTCAGAATTCACCTCTGCAAAGATCCTAAGGGCTTTTTCAGCCCAACAGATCCTAGGCCACGATCAACTTCTGATCGCACCATGGTATGAGAGCGACCCAGGAATCCTTCGCACCGCCATCTCCGAGGTCTGCAACATTCGGAAAGTGGCGTCCGGTACACGATCACGTATAAGAATGGCCGGAGGATCTGGATTGCAAGCAGCTTCGCTTTCGAAATATACACTTTTAGAAAGTGCTGCACACTCTTAAAAAACTTCATATCTGATAAGCAAGCCAGTCACCACGTAAGAAATAGTCAGTAGTTTGTCAATATGATTGACCTTCATGCTGTACTGGACATTTTCACAAACTCCCCTTTCCATCATTTATGCGGCACAACAGCAAAGACAAAGTCCATGCCTTGCCGTGGACGTGCGGCTCCTCTGGACCCTCCGATCTCATTCAGCGTGACAGTCCGATTCAGACCAATCACGTGGCTCGAGCCCACCACTCTCAGATGCTTCCCATCCACTCTTACCCGCATCACCACCAGCACCTCTCCATCCTTCTCATCCTCCTCCATATCCGCTCCATGCCCGCCCGGAATTCTACAGTTGTTGCACTCCCAAATCGCTCTAACTATTTGCGAATCTGCTTCTGTAGAGTTCAGTGCACTGTAGTCTAGGATTGGCCAGGGGAGGAGGTTTGGGCTGGGTTTTGGATACGATGTTGCCTTGTCTGGTGGGGCGAGAGAGGTGTTGAGGTACAGTAGATCTATAGATAAGTTTTGGGTTGCGGATAAGAAGGTTTTGAGAGAAGGAAAGTGTAGCTGGAACTGTAGCTTCGCCCAGAGGTAGCCTGGCATGTCGGTTCGGCTTGTCTCGTACCGGTCATCGAGCCATGTGGCCCAATACTGCATCATGGGAGAATGGGAAAAAGTTGGGGGGGGGAGTGGTGAAGAGATACGGGGAAACGTTGGTGTCATCAAGCCAGGTGTGAGATGGGGCAGAGCACAAAGGGGGCTGTGAGATGGGTCAGAGCAATGGGGGATCAGAGATGGGCGAATAGCACAAGGGACTGTGAGGAGGGCGATTGGCCTTCACTTGGAGAGAGCCGACCATTGCATTTTGAGTCTGAGATACGTCCAAAGAAAGCCACTCATATTAGGTTCCTAGAAAAGCGGCTCACCTTCACTTGGAGAGAGCCAACCATTGCATCTGGAGGCTGGGATACGTCCAAAGCAGGCCACTCAGAAGGTGGTTCCGATGCTGGTGATGGTGATGAATTTTCGGATCCGTCTACCACAGGTGATGATGGTGAACTTGACGAGTCGGCCGACTGTGCTTCGGAGTCTGCTGATTGTGACTGTAACAGAGGTGACTGTAACGGGGTGTTTTCGTTTGGGAGTGACTGTAACGAGGGTTGTGGTGTTTCCGAGGGCGGATGCTGCTGCTGCTGGCGTGGAACGAACATGAAGGTGAAGAGGAGCGTGAGGAAGATGGTGAGGAGGAAGGAGAGGAGGAAGAGCAGCAGGATGAACACGGTCTTCTGTGTTTCCGATCGCTGCCAGTACTGCGGGTGGGAGCGGGAGGGACGAAAGGAAACAAAGGATATCGGGTGGGTTAAGGGGCGTGAGAGAGGAGGAAGAGCAGCAGGATGAATATGGTCTTCTGTGTTTCTGACCGCTGCCAGTACTGCGGGTGGGGTTGGGAGGGACAAAAAGGAAGGAGGGGTGCGTTAGGGAGCGTGAGAGAGGAGGGAGGAGAAGGAAGAGAGGAGCACGATGAGCACATGAAGGTGAGGAGGAGCGTGAGGAAGATGGTGAGGAGGACGCTGTTAGCATTCGGGGTGGGAGTGAGTGAGGGGCCACCTAGGAGTGTGGGAGAGTAGGGAGGAGAAGACAGAGGGGAGCACGATAAGCACTGTTTTGTGTGTGTTTTGGAGAGAGTGGAGAGAAAGGGTCAGTACTGGCGCAGTACTGGCGCATGGAGGTGAGAATGGGATGGATGGGTTGTGCGTTTCTTGTGTACTTATGAGACAGAACGACTTTTGATATGTCTCAACAGGAGGGATGGGGTGGGGAGGCCTCATGTAAGGCGCCTTCGAAGCTAGTATTGGCGCATGGAGGTGAGAATGGGGAGGATGGATTGTGCGTTTCTTGTGAATTCACAGGACAGAACGACCCACTGTGTTCATTTTCGAGGCGCCTCCTTTGCCACAGAAGACAGTATTGGCGCATGGACGAGAGAATGGAATGGATGGAATAGGGTGTTTTTGAGAATTCTCAAAAACACCCTGCAGCATCATTGGCGCATGGACGTGCGAATGGAATGAATGGAATGTGCGTTTATGGGACAGACGGACTTTTGCGACGTCTCAACAGGGGGGATGGGGATGGGGATGGGGTTGGGGATGGGGATGGGGATGGGGACGGGGATAGGGACGGGGGTAGGGATGGGGATGGGGACTGAACGGGTTACATACGCGACATTTGTTGGGATTGCGTTGGAATGACATGGAGTTTCTTATTACAGCTTAAAGCAATCACGTGAGATTGAAAAGCAGCGACGATTCTTGAGGAGAAGAAGACGTACGGACACGCATAACAATACGGGTTTTGTGATTCGGTACGTGTATGTTCGTGTGTGTGTGTTCGTGAGTTCCTCTGTGTGTGTGTGTGTGTGTGTGTGTGTGTGTGTGTGTGTGTGTGTGTGTGTGTGTGTGCGCGCGCGCGCGCGCGCGCGGGCGCACGCGTGTGTGTGTCTGAGCGTGTATGCGTGAGTGCGAACATGTGTGCGCGCGAGCGCGCTTGCACGTGAGCCACTTATGCATAAACTTACGCATCAGCTTATGCATGTAGTAACATATACTGTGTATTCGTCCTCATCAGTTCGAGCGTGCCTGTGTGTGCATTCACGTGCTCGACACACGCGCACGTGTGCGCCACATTCATGGCATTATGTCGATTATATAATATACGTACCCGTCGGTATCCGCCATATTGCTCTCGTCTACCCCCCATATCCAGCAGTGTGAAGCCCGACGCGACCGTCCCCGCCGCATTCATTTGAATATACCCGTTTCCAACTTTCCGCTGCCCGTAAAATTCTCCTACACCACCCTCCCCGGTTTCGCCGAAATTATCATCTACCACGTCTCCGCCGGCCGCGCTTCGGCCGTCGTCGCTCCTCGGCGTTCCCGCGTCGCTATAGCCCTTCGGACCGCGACGAAACAGATGGCTCTCCGAATTCGCGGGGCTGCCGGGGCTCGTTCCGCCGAACCGCGGACCCATAGGCCCCGCCCTGAGCGGACTAATTGACACGCCGTGAAAGCCGCCGTTAATCCCGCCGTGTATCTCGTCGTTTTGTGACCCGCTCTCGCTTCCTTGGTAGTCCGAATAATCATCCCGCTCCGCGACAAAGTCTCCGTATCCGCTATCGACAAAGGAATCGAAATCCTCGCCGCCGCCTCTACCGCCACCGCCGCCGCCGCCGATTCCCGTACTCGCTGCGTCGTTCTCCCGCGGAAGCGCATCAGACGACGCCGCGTCGCGATCAGACTCGGGAGCACTGTTATTACTAGCGTTGTTGCCAGCGCGTCGGCTGCCTCCGAGGCCCCTCCGGCTGCGCTGCCGCTTCGCGTGGAGCTCCGCGGCGCGCTGCTTCCCGATCGATTCCGCCTTCACCGCGTCTTGCCGTTCCGAGGCGGCCTGCATGATTATGGCGCGTACGCGCTCCGATGGCGTCTTTGGCATGGGAGCGCCGAATGCGGCGTCATCTGCACCGTCGTCCCCACTGCCGCCTCTTCCGCCGCCGGCCGCCGAGGGTTTCTCCGCGGAGTCGATGTCGATGGAGAGCGCGCGTCGACCAGACGCCGCCGTTTGCCGGCCGCGACTCGATTCTTCCAAGTCGATGGAAAGACCTCCGCGCGCGGGGGGCCGTTGGCGGCGACCGGAGGCGCTTCCCGCGGACTCGAAATTCATTATCTCAGCCATCCGTTCGTCTCCAATACTAGCGGTCGTCGATCTACCTGCACTGCTATTACTGGCATCGAATCTGCCGCCGTCGGACATGATGGCGAGCGGCCAAATACAGACGAACAGTCAGATGCGATTACAGCAAGGAAGATTGGCGCCGCGAGAAGGTTATGTTGTTTCAATAATACCGTCGTAAGGTTTGAGAAGGCTATTAGGTAATCACACAGGCTGGGATGGTAGTTGTGGTACTACTGTAGTTCCAAAATGGTGCTGTTCGCCAGGAAACGGAGGCGGAACCCGCCTCCAACGTTTGGCCGAAATGCCGTTCAAGAAACTTCTACGCCTGCGGCTGCGAAATCTCGCAACCGCATCGGGAACCTCCGTCCCCACTTTCCCCCCAATCCCCTTTGAACGGCAATGCGACGGCTGTGCCATCGCTGTGCTTCGAAAAACGTAGCGTGGCGATGGCATGGCTTGGGGATGGAGCTTTGCCTGGGGACGAAGTTGCGTCCCCGCTTCTATATGCCGTCGAGCAGTTCGTTCTGTTGACAAATGGGGGTGTTCGCCAGAAACCCACTTAGATTGTTGGTTTGGACGTTTGGGGAGGCTCGGCACCTTTTTTACCGGCTGACCAGGCTGACGGAGGTAAACGAACCTTAACTGACGGGATCAGGAAGGCGAGACCCACCTTTCTGATCCCGTCGTCTTCCCATGGTTTTTTGCTTCATTGGTGCTGGCGAACACCCCCGAGGTCTCTACTGCTTCGAAGCTAGGGTGAAGCGGGAGAATCGGATTGGGGGTGACAGGACAGGACGCAGTGGAAATGTGGGAGAAAGGAGTAAAGACTTGGGCCGGAAAATTCGATTGCAATGTGAGGGACGAGAGGCGGAGAGAGGCGCGGAAATGCTGAAAACGGTGAAACGCGGCTAAGTTGGCGAGGAGAGATGCCGAGACACACCCGTGGATGGTGGAGTAGAGCGCCAAGGTGACTTGGAGAGCGGAGAGACCGAGGACACGGGTGAACAGTGCACCTAGAGAAGAGCGGTGCGGTGCGACAGGTCAATTGAGGCTTTAGAGACAAAGCGACAAGGGAAGCAAGTGGGAAGGAAAACCATCCCTATGGCCTGCGCTGTGCTCTTGTGGTGGGGTCACCGCGTAACGTGGTCTGACAATTCTATTTCCCAAATTGTAAGGATTTATAAATGCTCACTGAGGCACTCTTTAGCGAGGTCATCCCGAGGGTCACGCGACGAACCTGTCCTTCCTATTTCGTCGCACCGAACCACTCCCGATTCGGCCTTCGCTCCAATCGCAACCATCACCGAGCCATCCTCGCCCAACCTCTCCGCCTAGCTAGGACTTCCCCTATTTAGTCGTACCTTTCTCATTGTATCGTCATTCAGGAATTCAGTACTCAATCATTCTCGTTATTCGTTTTACTGCGCACTCTGCAAGTTCATTCATAACACAAATTATGCAACATGCTAGCGGAGCTTTGGTTTACTGTACTGGATTCTATGTAAAATGTAACCATTTATATTTGTTTCTCGCCAAAACTGTCTGTACCATTTTCATTGTGAATGCCCACAAGCCAAGATTCTCGTTTCCCGTGCATGGTGCCGCAGGTCCCGTAGCGGCCGAACCATGTCGCGAGTCCGTCTTCGCTCGGCGTGGAGCCGCGCTGCTTCGACCCTTCTCTTCCGCGATTCTTCTGCGTGGAAGTCGTCGATCGAGCTCGGAATCTCGACTCACCCTAGTAGTTGTATTGCCTCGAGTCGGAATCTCGGTTTCGCATGGCTTATTCCGCAGCGCATCAGCCGGACCAGAATTGTCACGCCCGTCCACGACCGATATCGCCGTTTCGCATCCGGAGTTGACGGAACCGGATTTGACGGAGGTCAGGGAGCGACGCGAGACAGGGGTGATGGTGTCAGCGCGATTGGCGGGGAGCCGAAGGATGGGTCGACGGCTCGAACAGCGGCTGCCGCGATTGGCAGAGACGAGACAGACGGAGTGCTTGTAAGGAGCGGCATTTTCGACAGTGGAGCATTTTATATTGGAGGATGTGACAATGGTGCATGTGTGATTTCTCCCTTCCCCCAAACCCACCTTCCCTTTCCCTTTCCCCTCTTCCCCCTTCCCTCCCCTCCAACCCATCCCTTCCCTCAGGTTCTGGACTTCATACACACCAGCCTCTATCACCCCACAGACGGCTATTTCACCTCCTCTTTCTCCACCCATTCCCCCAACTTCCCCCCCACTCCTTCCACCCTCCGCCTTCCCAATTCCCCCCATTCAGGTGCACAATTTCATCCACACCAGTCTCTACCATCCCAGAAACGACTATCTCACCTCCTCTTTCTCCCATTCTCCCAAGAACCTCCAGAAACCTTCCACCCTCCGCCTTCCCCCCTCCCCTCATTCAGGTGCGCGATTTCATCCATACCAGTCTCTACCATCCCACAGCCGGTTATTTGTCCTCTCTGAACCCGTCCCTTATTTTCCCCCCTTCCCCCCGTCCCCCTGCCTCTCCCTCCCCCTCAGGTGCGCGATTTCATCCACACCAGCCTCTACCATCCCACGGACGGTCATTTCACCCCCTCTCTCTCTACCCATTCCCCCAACTTCCCCCCCACACCTTCCACTCCCCCCACCTTCCCTTCCTTTCCCCCTCAGGTACGCGATTTCATCCACACCAGCCTCTATCATCCCACGGACGGCTATTTCACATCCAACGCTGCTGCTGTGGGTTCAATCCCGCACCCAATCAGCTTCCGCCAGCTGGCGGGGCGACGGGAGTGGATGGCGCTGCAGCAGTCGCTCTACGCCTCTGCTGATACCTCCTGGTTCACTCCCTCGGAGCTGTTTCAGGTGAAAACCCAGGGATGGATGATTCAGGGGCAAATGCAGGGGTGTCTGTTTCCGTTTTCCTTCATCTTTTTCAACCACGTGCATTCCCTGTATTCACTGTGTGTGTGTTTTGATCCGTGCTGCATCCCTCTCCCCATCTCCCCCACCCCCACCACCAGCCATGGTACGGCTATGCTGTCGCAGACTTTATTCTCTCCTCCCACTCTCCCACCAAGCCTCTTAAGGTGAGCTGACACCTACATACCTGTATGCATGCCATCATGCCTATCACCGCTCCTCCCACCACTCCTCCCACCTCTCAACCTCTCCCAACCTCCCTCAACCTCCCAATCCCCCAACAGTAGATGTATGAGGTGGGAGGGGGCGGAGGCACGCTGGCTCGCAACATTCTCGACCGCCTGAAGGCGAAGGCTCCTGCTGTGTACAGGCACTGCCGATACACGTGAGTGAGTGGAGGAGAGAGAGAGAGAGAGAGGACTTAGCACCCAGCCCTCTTCCTCTTCCCTCGGCCCTCTTCCTCTGAGCCTATTTAAGGGCCCTTGGTGCCTTCTTCTCCTCATTATTTCGTGTGTTCTCAGTTTTCCGCGGCTGGAGAGATCGAGAGAGAGAGAGGACTTAGCACCCAGCCCTCTTCCTCTTCCCTCGGCCCTCTTCCTCTGAGCCTATTTAAGGGCCCTTGGTGCCTTCTTCTCCTCATTATTTCGTGTGTTCTCAGTTTTCCGCGGCTCGCGCCGGCGGCCTTCGGCCGCGTGTTTCTGGTGGCAAGACACAAAACGGAGGATCGGCTTATATAGGGCACACACACACACAAAGGCAAGGAGCTGGGCAGGAGCAAGAGGCGCGGCATGCAATTCTACACACGGCGGAGGCCTACATCGCGTACGGCTCCGCCCCCTCCACCTCAAGCATCGAGCGCATGCACGCCGACAACGCAAGAAGGAGATGCGCCGACGACGGGAGCGTGTCCAAGGGGGTCCCGGCTTGAGCAGCCCCTACAAGATCCCCCACGTGGCGGGGGAAAGTACGGGCTAAGGGAGCTACCCCGGCGGGCGCGTCCGACACGGGTGCCAACGGCGACTCGAGTGATTCTGCCAAAGTCACGCAGGATCCTCGGGTCCCTGGACCAAAACTGCTCGGAAAGCTCCTCGTGGCCCCACACACCGCCAGCTGCAAGTTTGCCACCACCTCGCACGCCTCCGCCAGATTCAGAACCCGGCACATGGTCAGCATGGGGTCTCTCCCCGCGCGAGTGGGGAGAGGTGCAGTCTGCGCTTCGCGCGGAAACGCCGCCGGCCAGCCAGGAGTCCGGCCAACAGCCAAGCGCGGCGCAGAGAAGCCGGGAACCTGACGGGGGGTGCGGAACTGAGCCCTCCCCTCACGCGCGGGCTGATACTCGCGCAGCGTCGGCGCACGCAGAGGAGCGACCTGGCCTGGGTCCGCGGCGAAGGGGGGACCGTTGGTCACCTCAATATGGACGTGAGTCGGCGCCCCACTCGCCCGGGCCTGCCTCACCACCTCCACGAACGTGTGCGCAGCATGATCGAGGGCTGGATCAAGCTGGTTGCCATTCCCGCCTTGCCCTCCGCCCTTCCGCCAGCCCCGCCGTCCCTCGGAACCAGCCGAATGTGGACGCGGGGGGGACTGCTCGCGGCGACCCGAATTCCAGCAACGACCAGGCGACCCCCTCCCCCGCGTCGCCGGAGATCGCCAAGGAGAATGTTGCGCGGGGGATCGCGCTCGCGGTGAGCGCTGGCCTGCACGACCACGAGGGGATGGGCGGCGAGGGGAGCGAGGACGTGCAGGAGAACGCTTACCCCCCTCCCCGCGCTGATAGTGCTCGCGACGCTCAGGAGAAGGGCGGCGAGGAGAGGGCGGCTGTTGAGGGTGCCGCAGAGGCGAGCACCCGCGCTCCTGCCGCGGCTGACCGTCCGGGCGGTTCGACGCAACACGAGCAGGCGCCCACGAATACTCTGGCGAGGCGGGGCATCGCGGGACGAGCAACGCGGGGAATCCGCGTAGGACGCGGCAGCCGCCGCGGACGACGAAGCATTGAGAGAGGACGAAGAGGTGGTGGAGCACGAGGTTCGAACAGGCGCCGATCTGGTGCAAGCGGCTACGCGAGGAATGTGGAAAGGCTGATGCGAAACGGCGCGGAGGGCGACGTGGAACCACTTAGCGAGGAAGCAGAGGAGGTAGCGGAGAATGAGGAAAGTGAAGAGGGGGACCCTGCCTTTAACCCTGAAAGCGAGGGGATGCTAGAAGCAGAGGCCGAGGAGGACGAGGAAGAGTTGGAGCTGCTGCGGGAAGCGGAGCTCCCAAACCAGCAGGCCAGAGGTGAACCTGCAAACCGAACCTCAGTTCAGAATCGAACCGCGGGGAGAATTCAAGCAAGGAGGGGAAATCGAGCCGCTCCAGAACAAAGAATTGACTCTGCAACAGCCAATGAAAATTCCGCAGCCCCGAGTCCAACCCCCCCGATGCTCAAACCTGACGACCTGGCGAAAAACTCTGAGCTATTCGCTCAGGTTGCAGTGTGGGACCTCGACCCGCTGCGTGACAGTCGCCAACCTCCTCTCGCTCGCCACCCCCCTAAAGACCTTCGTGACTCCTTCGCGATCTGTATGTTGACGCCGTTACTCCACCTGGCGGCCAATCCCGAGTCTGCGCCAGGATGGAAACTACTGACCTTTCTCCCGCGCATACTCCTTCGTACCTCGTCAGCCCGTAAACCTGACTGGAGCGCGATGATGAATCGGCTCCTGCGATTTCGCCAAGGGCTCTGGGCGGACCTATATGAAGAAGCTGTCCAGGCGATTTCCTTGCCTCCGCAGCCTCGCCACTCACTCGACACAACTGGAATACTGGCACGGGCGGAAGGTCTGGCAAAACGGGGTAACCTGTCAAAGTCACTCCAATCCCTCCAGGCCACCCCTGTGTCACCTGCCTCACCTGAAGTGCTGGAAGCCCTCGCGACGAGACATCCACCTGCCAGCCAGCTTCTCCCTGACTGGCTCCACACCGCCTCGGCTGAAGACCCACCCACTATCGAAGCCCGCGACTTCAGGCGCCTCCTCGCCAAGCTCCCCAACGGAGTCGGGGCCGGCCCCTCAGGAACCACTTTCGAGCATATCCGCGACGCAGCCCTAGGGAATGCCGAAGTACTCTCCCACCTCCTCGCCCTCTCCAACACAACTCTAGCAGGGAAACTCCCAACAGCCGCGGGGGATCTTCTAGCGGCCTCCCGCCTGCTAGCCTTTACGAAACCCCAAGGAGGGACGCGGCCAATAGCGGTGGGGGAGTGTCTCCTCCGGATTATAGCAGGGGGGATCGAAGCGGCTATCCACACCGCTCGCACGTACCTGGAAGTGCATCCTGCTGTAGTGGCCTTGCAGATCGACCTCGCGAACGCTTTTAACGCGGTCGAAAGGAGAGCGGTGTTCGAAGGACTGAGAAACGAGGCGCTGAAGAAGCTGATCCCCCTCGTCCGCCTATCCTACGGGGCTCCCTCCTCGCTCTACCTCGACCACGACTTCGGCGCAGCCCCGCTGCAGAGCGCCAGAGGAGTTCGCCAAGGGGACCCGCTCGGCCCCCTCCTGTTCGCGGCAAGCATCCACCCGTGCCTCATTGCCACGGCGGCGGCACACCCTCAGGTGGTCCTGCTGGCGTACGCCGATGACATCACGCTGCTCGGCGACGCCTCGGCCTGCACAGCAGCTTTCGACCACCTCACATCCGCACTTGCCGCCCTCGGCCTGGTACACAACCCGGCCAAATGCGCGGCGTGGTCCGCCGCTCCAATCGACCCCTCTGCAGTGCCCTCGGGAATTACTATCTCTGATGAGGGACTGCAGATTCTCGGCAGCCCGGTTGGCACACCCCGGGAGTGCGCGGGCGCCGTGAGAGAGAGACTGGCAGTAGCAGCATCCCCACTCCCCCTGCTGGCCCAGATGGACCCCCAGCTTAGCCTCCTCCTCCTCACCCGCTGTGTCAGCCGCCGAGCCTCTTTTCTGGCCAGAACCACCCCCCTGGAAGCTCTCCCTGAAGCGGAATGGTCAGCTTGGGGGGAGCAGCTCCTACACACCTTCCTGGACTCGGCCCACATCATGAGACCAAGGAGTGCCCGGGAGAGGCGGAGGATTTGGCGGCAGGCGGCCCTGCCCGTGACTCTGGGAGGCCTGGGCATCACTGACCCCGCCGTTGAAGGCAGCTACGCTTACCTCGCTTCAGTGATCAGCGCCGCCCACCTTCTATACTCCCTGGAGGAGTCGTTACACCCTGCTGTCGCCGCGCTCCTCCCCCTACTGGACCCTACCCACGGCTCCCCGCACGCGCTGCCTGCACGCCTCGCCGCGGCTGAGGCAGCTCTCCCACCTGAGGCTCTCGAGGTGCTCCAGGCCGGGAAGACAAACCCCAAGGGACTGCAGCTGCAGCAGAGCCTAGCGCTGGCGGTTCACTCCCGCCGCTTCTTGAGGGCCATGCGCGAGGCAAGGCGGATGCGCCCCAACCCCCTTTCAGGCCATGCGCAACGGATGCGGTCGGTGCTAGGCCCAGGAGCGGGGGATTGGCTGCTGGCAATCCCGCTCATCCCCTCGCTCCGAATGGGCCCCTCCCAGCTCTCAACTGCAGCTGCCTTCCGCCTAGGCCTCCCCCTCCCAGTGCCTAGACGCTGTGACTGCCGCTACCGCACCACCTTCCCCGACGACCGCCTCCCCAACCACCTCATGCGCTGCGAGAAGGGGAAAGGGAGGACCGCTACCCATCACGCTCTGTGGGATGAGATAGCAAATATCGGGGCTGAGGCGGGTTTTACGGTTCATAAGGAGACGTATGTCTACTCACTGGTTGAAAACCTAAAGGCGGATGTCACCATCCGTCATCCACTGACCGGGGAGGTTTGGATGTGCGACGTGACCGTGACGGACCCGATGTCATACCAGGACGAGAACTGCAACCGAGCTCCTGGTTGGGCAGCTAGGGCGGCAGCGGCAAAAAAGGAGGAGAAGTACGCACGGCGGAACACATGGGTGGGGTTCCACGCGCTCGCAGTGGAAACATACGGCTACCCCTCGCCGGGGGTGCTGGCTTACCTGCGGCAATGCGTGGAGCTGGCTGCAAAGCTGCGGTTTAACGCAACCCCTACCTCCTACGAAGCAGCAAAGCTTCTGACGGAGTACCGCCAGCGTTGGAGCGTGTGCCTCCAGCGGGCACAGGCCAACGCCCTCCGCACCAAGACCAATGAGGCCTTGGCGGCGGACGAGCTCGGTTTTAGAGGACCCATCATCCCTCTCAGTGAGGGACAGCTGCACCAGTTGATCGAGGCCCCGTTCGACCAGTAGGGTCGGACAGGGGGGGGGGCAGAGTAGGTAGGGGACTTGGAATAGTTAGGATGCCGGTTTTCTGTTGAGCTTGTGCTTGTGTGTTTTGCACCTTCCGTTGTACCACCCCCCAAAGAAATGCAAGGACCATTCAAGAGAGAGAGAGAGAGAGAGAGAGAGAGAGAGAGAGAGAGAGAGAGAGAGAGAGAGAGAGAGCGAGAGAGAGAGAGGACTTAGCACCCAGCCCTCTTCCTCTTCCCTCGGCCCACTTCCTCTGAGCCTATTTAAGGGCCCTTGGTGCCTTCTTATCCTCATTATTTCGTGTGTTCTCAGTTTTCCGCGGCTGGAGAGATCGAGAGAGAGAGAGGACTTAGCACCCAGCCCTCTTCCTCTTCCCTCGGCCCTCTTCCTCTGAGCCTATTTAAGGGCCCTTGGTGCCTTCTTCTCCTCATTATTTCGTGTGTTCTCAGTTTTCCGCGGCTCGCGCCGGTGGCCTTCGGCCGCGTGTTTCTGGTGGCAAGACACAAAACGGAGGATCGGCTTATATAGGGCACACACACACACAAAGGCAAGGAGCTGGGCAGGAGCAAGAGGCGCGGCATGCAATTCTACACACGGCGGAGGCCTACATCACGTACGGCTCCGCCCCCTCCACCTCAAGCATCGAGCGCATGCACGCCGACAACGCAAGAAGGAGATGCGCCGACGACGGGAGCGTGTCCAAGGGGGTCCCGGCTTGAGCAGCCCCTACAAGATCCCCCACGTGGCGGGGGAAAGTACGGGCTAAGGGAGCTACCCCGGCGGGCGCGTCCGACACGGGTGCCAACGGCGACTCGAGTGATTCTGCCAAAGTCACGCAGGATCCTCGGGTCCCTGGACCAAAACTGCTCGGAAAGCTCCTCGTGGCCCCACACACCGCCAGCTGCAAGTTTGCCACCACCTCGCACGCCTCCGCCAGATTCAGAACCCGGCACATGGTCAGCATGGGGTCTCTCCCCGCGCGAGTGGGGAGAGGTGCAGTCTGCGCTTCGCGCGGAAACGCCGCCGGCCAGCCAGGAGTCCGGCCAACAGCCAAGCACGGCGCAGAGAAGCCGGGAACCTGACGGGGGGTGCGGAACTGAGCCCTCCCCTCACGCGCGGGCTGATACTCGCGCAGCGTCGGCGCACGCAGAGGAGCGACCTGGCCTGGGTCCACGGCGAAGGGGGGACCGTTGGTCACCTCAATATGGACGTGAGTCGGCGCCCCACTCGCCCGGGCCTGCCTCACCACCTCCACGAACGTGCCCGCAGCATGATCGAGGGTTGGATCAAGCTGGTTGCCATTCCCGCCTCGCCCTCCGCCCTTCCGCCAGCCCCGCCGTCCCTCGGAACCAGCCGAATGTGGACGCGGGGGGGACTGCTCGCGGCGACTCGAATCCCAGCAACGACCAGGCGACCCCCTCCCCCGCGTCGCCGGAGATCGCCAAGGAGAATGTTGCGCGGGGGATCGCGCTCGCGGTGAGTGCTGGCCTGCCTGACCACGAGGGGATGGGCGGCGAGGGGAGCGAGGACGTGCAGGAGAACGCTTACCCCCCTCCCCGCGCTGATAGTGCTCGCGACGCTCAGGAGAAGGGCGGCGAGGAGAGGGCGGCTGTTGAGGGTGCCGCAGAGGCGAGCACCCGCGCTCCTGCCGCGGCTGACCGTCCGGGCGGTTCGACGCAACACGAGCAGGCGCCCACGAATACTCTGGCGAGGCGGGGCGCGCGGCAGGACGATGGGGAAGAGTTTGATCCCGCTCGAAGTGGTGCACGGGCTCGCTCGCGGAGGGGTGCGCAGGGAGACGCGGACGAGGCCCGGCAGGCGCAGGCTGCGGTAGCGAGCTCTCCGCGGAACCCTCCAGCTCCGGATCCCGTCTCACGGATGGGTCCATCACCCCCGATCTTACCGCAGCCGACGCGAGTGCGGCGACGAAGCGAAAACGAGACGGCCGCGGCGCCGCAGACAGGGCGCGAGGGAGCTGCTGTGGGACGAGCAATGCGGGGAATCCGCGTAGGACGCGGCAGCCGCAGCGGACGACGAGGCAACGAGAGAGGACGAAGAGGTGGTGGAGCACGAGGTTCGAACAGGCGCCGATCTGGTGCAAGCGGCTACGCGAGGAATGTGGAAAGGCTGATGCGAAACGGCGCGGAGGGCGATG